ATGCGGTCATTGATGTATTGCGTTTTTGACGCATTCTAACCAATGTTTTCAATGTTTTAGAGTCTTTTCGGTTGAAACACATTTGGATGGAGTTTGAGGCAAATGAATAAGGAATGAGAACAAAGGAGCATAAAATGGCCAGAAGTTTGGCAGTCAAGAACAATGTGCAGAAGCAAGACCAGAAGGAGAAATATTGATCCATCCCAATCTGGATGGATCGATCCAGACACTTCTTGGGCGTGGAAAACTTCCAGATCGAGCCAGATTGATCCATCTAAATGTGGATGGATTGATCTTGACACTTATGGCCCACATGAATATTTCATTCAAGCTACAGCAGATCGAGTTAGATTGATCCATCCAAATCTGGATATATCAATCTTGACATTTATGGCGCACATGAATATTTTAGACCAGACTAGATAGAGCCAGTTGGATCCATCTTCTACTGGATTGATACATCTTTCTGCCAGACGAAAAAAGGACAACTATGAACTTCCCTTTTTACCCAGAGTCATCCAAACTCCACCAAATCCGACCCTAGACTTATTTATTCTATTTTTAGCCATTGTGGAGGCTACACTTTATTTTTCAATTAGACTTTTGATTTTTGTAATTTGTAAGATCTAGGGAAACGATCTCCGACTCTAATCACTGAGAAGAATTCTAAACTCTTTTGATTTCTATTCTATTGATTATAAGTTTTTTTCATCTCTCTGTGTTTTCTCTGCATCCATGTGTGAGTTAGGTTTTAGAGTTTTCAAAGGAATCATTCATTGAATCAGACATAGATAGGGATTTATAATATATGTTGTTCACCTATTGTTGTTCATATTGCTTAGACTAAACCGGTCACTTAGTCTCTGATTTAGGGTTAAATATTTATTCACCAAAAGTGCTATAGGTTGCTTGACAGAACATAGGCGAGCGAATTGTCTTTAGCCAACGAAAGCTGATGCTAAGGCAATTCGTAAACAAATCAAACATGCTCATTAATGTTTGTCTAGAATTTTAGGTTCAAACGACAGTTTATAATTCTAGGTTGCTAGATAAAGTGATTGATGCCATGACAGTGGATTGATTTTATATTTATGTTTGAGTTCGAGATTATGCTAAATCGTTCCCTGAATAATTGTCTAGTTTATGATTTCTGATTTCCTACAAATATCCCTAAAGCCTAACAATTTAAATCCATAAGTTTACATCGTTTAGTTAAATTCTCTTTTATCTTCTTGCATTAAACAATCACAATCTTGTCTTCGCTTAATTTCATTCTCATACATTCGTAGTATAATACTTGGTCTATGTGGATTCGATCCCTTTGATACTACTTCATTGCTGTGCACTTGCATTAGTTTTGATAGGGTTAAAACATATGTTATCAGTCATGTAAAACCAAA